AGCGAACTGTATTGCGTATAAACTGCAAACTGTTCTTCCGTAAAAAAGATTGAACATGTTGCCCGTAGGTGTCTGGTGGAAGCCCGTAAGAGTAAAAAAATTTCGCTCGGCCGTCCTGAGTAAAGTACATCGCCACCCAGTGGGTGCCCGGTCGATCACTCTCGTCGGCGTTCATGATGAGCGCGCTGGGGTATTTGGTCACAGGCAATAACCTATCCGACGGGAATACACCAATGACGTCACGGCGGGTCATGCTGTCCCCCTTGAGGACTCTTCAAACTTGTACGCTGGTCATCGTTTATTGGTGTAATCGATCAGAATATTGCAGATCTCGTCCACTTCCAGGATGCTCTCGAATTCACTGAACACCACCACGTTGACGGTTGTTGTCAGGGCCTCGGCAAATTTCAACTCCAGACGCATGTTATTACACTTGACCAGGTTGAAATGAGACCCGCTCGACAAGTCCGGAGACAGATCAAAGGCAAAGAGGGAGGATCCCGACTCATAGTCTTCCCTGTTGATCTGATTGCCCTTGTCTCGAAACAGGATATTTATACCGGAATATAAAGTCTTATAGGACATCATGTACGCTTCGTCTTTGCCGGTAAAGCCGCCATTAAACAGAAACTGTTTTTGCTCCGATTAAACTTGAGCTTCAGGTTGACGCCGTTCAGTAAAAACCTATCTTGAAAAAATATGTCTCAGTGAATCGGTCCCAACATATCGATAATACAGCTCTCCTTCGACAGTTTGTATCTCCGCTTTAATCCCTCGTTGAAATTTTCTTCCGCGGTTGGATCGTCCAAGTCCATTTTTCCCGCCGTGTCTTTGTAAAACAGGGCGGCTGTCAGCTGCGATGGCTTGGCCGGTGGTCGTAAGTGAGGAGGGTTTCCAGCAGGGCTCGGTACGGGTACGTGTTGGAGGAAGATGAAACGAGTTTGTCATTGAGCGTGACATCCACTTCGGAGAACAGGGAGTGAAGCAGCAGATTGACGGGAGCGACGGGAACACCCTAGCCCAGGTCGGCACCATTTTCACTTTAACTTTGACGTTGATCAGGTTGTGCGCCAAATCCAGGTAGTGCTCGGTGGAACCGGTGATGTTAAATTCTATAGAGTCCGAGTCCACGATATTGGTCAGTGGGTTGTACTGTACCCATTGCCCTTTCAAAATGGAGGTCTGAGTGGGCGGGACGGAAAACAGATCCAGTTCGGACTTTGTGCATTCGCGCGAATGTTTACTGATGAATGCCATAGTGGTGTACACCCTTGTTAATCAAAAATGTCGGGGTCCTCTTCAGTCGCTTGCTCCAAGCCCTTCTGCCCGACGCACTGGGTGCTTTCTGTTTTAAACCTTTCTCCTGGAAGGCGGATTGCTCGGAGAGTTGCTGCATGACCCGTGACGTCATCTTCTTTCCAGCCTGTTTCACCCATTTCTTCGCTGCCGTCTTGACGTTCTGTCCGTCGAGGGTATCGGCGACGATTCCTACCCCGGTCTTCAAGGCCTCCTTGACTATCATTTTGGCACCTTGTTTGATCATCGGTAAAGTGTATTTGTGTAAAGTGTATCCCTTCTGTACGGGGGCACCTCTGAAATAATAATCCCCGCCCCCGCCTGTTTTTTGTAATATTTCACGTAGTCCACCATGATGGCTCAAAACAAAGAAGGACGGCTTTTGCGAAAATGAAGCATAATGGTGAGTTTCCCACGTTGAAATGGCATTTTCTCTCCCTTGTCGGTCCTTATATCCACCTGAATCGTCTCAATGGGGCAC